TTTTTTCTGGATTTTGTCCATGTGCCGATAGGACTTGTAATAGTCATAATCCCGATGATCCCTATCAAGGCTCCCAGTAGCGTGACTTGTGAATTCGTCCAAAAATACATGTATGGCAGTTAAACCTTGGAAGTTCGGTCATAAAATAATGCGGACGACTCATTATAAATATTGCTGGAATTTTTTATAATAGCAACATGACCAATGATGCAGCTGGATGCACAAGATCGAATCCACACCATAACACCCCCACCCAAAAAAATTTACAGTGTTATTCCAACTTAATTCGTGAAATCGTTATACAGGGCGCCTCCAAAGCCGTTCTTACCTATCAGAAACCAAACAATTGTAGCTAGTCGCAGAAAGTAACATTTCTTTACTGCACTTCATCCCAGTCGACATGCCTCTACGCCCCAATTATGCCTATTTCTTAGCTGGTGTCTGAAGGACCTATTCTTTAGGGGATGCAGAGCAGCCAGCGAACCAAACTTGTGTGTAACGAACATGAAGTTTAGGCTGCAGAAAAGAGGATTTGCTTTCAGTGACAGGCTACGGTTCTGCTTGGTTTTTGATGGATAAAGACGGCTTTGGAAACGCCTTGCGGAACGGTTTCACGAATACAGTTGGAAGAAGACTGTCAATTTTGGGGATGGTGGTGTGTTATGGCGTGGAATATTCTTATTACTGAAACATATCGCGACTGATGAGACCAGGATACAATTTTATGACCCGGAAGGAATAGTACGTTTATGCAATGGAAACATCCTGAGTCTCCATCTCCCAAGAAACTGAAACTGAGGAAGTCCTTTGCAGCATGTTTTGGGACATGGAAGGTGCTCTGGTGTATTCGATGCCTCAGGGTGCCACTGTTACGTACAGGGCAAATATTGAGGAAGATGGGGCACCTTGGAGTCACTTTTTTTGTGAGCCTGCAACTTAAGAGTTTTTATTCTTCTGAAGTAATGCTGCGTGTAAAGACTCGCATTACTTGCGCACTCCCATGTTTCCAAGTTCTCAACATAAAAGTTTCGAGCGATAAAGTCGTATTTTAAAATGGGGTACCATGGGTCAGGGCACGAAGTACGATGGGTCGTAAGCATCACTAAAATGAAATTCTTGGATACTGATACACTTCACCGCAGTTGGAACCTCTAATCGGAAATTAATCTACGATTCATTTACAAGAATATCAGCATCTGGTATTTTTACCCTTCAGAGTCTCGCGCTTATAATTGCGCATTATCAGATTGGAAAAAGACTGCAAAGGAAATCTGCATTGACAACTATAGGAAGCATTTGGCGTATTATGAGTAAAGAATGACCCATCGTGCCCCAACGCGAGCCGTTAAAATGATCGAAAATCAGGATTGCTATTAAAGTAAGTTACGATTGTAGCTCATGCGCGCAGGCATTGAACTACCGATCTCCTGAATCCAATCCCAGCCAGAATTAAGACGCTTATTTCAAAGAAACAAGCAACAAAAATGGTAGTATCAGTCAATAGAAAACCAAAAAGGCATATTCTACGGGAAAACGTCCGCACAGTTCATTTTGGTTGAGACTACTCTTTTATCACCTACACTTTCCTAGCATCTCAGCTGGAAGATATACAATGTTTCTCATTAACTTTCGTACCTGCCGTATATTGCCTCATTCTCCTCACAAAATGATCCGTACGCGTTTCATAATGTTTCGTTCTCCCTCCTCCACTCAGCGAGCAAGTGCCGCTCCGAATGACACGTCCCTCTGACAACCCTTGGATAGAGAAATGCAAGGCCTTTCGATAGTCATTAGAATAGATGATGTCGAGCGCCCAGATTCGCGGAATCTCCATGAAAAGACCTGTAAGCAAATGGAAAAGGAGTTTCACGCGCAATAATTTTTTTAAATTGCAAGTAATGACGGAAAGTATCGACGAAATGCAACTGTTATTTCAAAAATCCCGGATGTGGTTCCCGTCTGGGTTTCCAGGTGAACTTGCCATTCTGAGCCGTACACGAGGAGTGGAGGAGAGCAGGAGGTAAGAAAAAGTATGCAACGTGTGCGATTCATTTTGAGAGAGCATGAAAGGAAACAGAGTTGGGAGAGCTATAGACAGCCATTGCACTCCGTGACTCGTGGTGCCCCACCTTTCCTTGAAGGAGTTGCTGTCTACCTTACTAAAGAGGAGATCTGGCTGTAACCATCATAAAAGCTAACGAGGAACCTGACCCTTCCCCTGGGCGTCAACTCCTTATCCTTCGTGATCAGCCTATTCCCAAAGAGTCACTTCGATTTCAATATTGTGTCGTATTCGAATCAACGTTTCGATTTAAAAACAACTCAAGAATACTAATACATTTTCTGCAGTTCCTGATCCTGAGCTGACTCTCATGCGGCGAAGCATTGTCCCCCGACATTGTATTTTGCTCATACCGTGATCCCATGTTGCATAAAGGCCTTACTAAGACAATTCTGGGGCGATTACCTCTGGAACTTATAATCTTGTAATGAACCAGGGCTAAAACAGTCAACAGATCTCTTGCTATTCCCTGACAGTGGCAGTTGACTGTATTGATGGACCTCAGCTCGTCTCACTGCCAGGCGCTTCTCATATTTCATTTCTTCTGTCGACCTCTCCATGTAATTTCCTATGTGTGTGCTTGTGTGTATGTGTGTGCTTGTGTGTATGTGTGTGTGTGGGGGGGGATATCTCTGTGATACAACTGTATTATTGGGTGCATTGCTGTACTACGGATTTGGGGTACTGTAGATCAGGATCCTGGATGGCAATCGCTACCATTCGACTCAAAAAACTCGAAAAGCCAAGGGATATGAAAAAAGCGGGGTTTCATATGAAGAGACATCGGAGACCTAGACGTTAGATGCAAGCAGATGGAAGAGCCAGAACTACACATATGCCGCATGCTAGTTCTGAAATTTGTTGCACCTTGATTTGACAAGCAATTTCTTACATCTAAACCCAGGCATGTTCTATGGTTCATCGTCGAAGTGATGCTTCGAACTCAAGTACACATATCACGTTGCATCTTCGCAACACTGCAATAATAATATAAGGGTGCTGACCCGCTAGTATTACAGTTCGTAAAGTAGAAGGTCGTGATATATGGAGAAAGCCTACGCGTATAATATCGGGTAGTTGGAATCCTCTTCATTGCATCTTGCGTTTGCCCTTCTACCAAAATACTTGACGACGACCAAATGCTAAACATTGCTACACATACACATCGCAGTTAGAAGCATCTGGTATCACACTTAACGCATCATGCTCTAGGCTATTTCTTAACTTCCGCTTTTCCCATGTTGACGCGGTCACGAGCTTCAAGCAATTCGCTCCATCATTTTGCACATGCGTATACGTGTCTCAAAGGAGTCCACATCATATTGCCACGGATGGGTAACGACGGCGAGAAAGATCCAGTCCGCAGGCGCAAATAGAGGGAGGAGCTAGGAGGAAAATTTAGTAGACGGAAAAATTCGCGCCGCGCGAGTGGCGCGAATTCATCCAGGCATTCAGGGCTAAGAGTAAGAATGAATACAGCAAATCGCATCTCTTCCAGGTTGCCCTGTTTGTGGAGGTATATTATCTGATGAAAACTATCCTTGTCTTGGAACGCATTCTGTGATAGCGAAAATGAGACGCGACGTAAAGTATATAGAGAAACGTGTGCAATAGATACGCATGCGCGCGGATTTTCCCAATAACAGACAAGTATACAATGGGTTTTCCAGTGTGTCTTGTATGTAATAAGCTATGGTCAAATAGACAAAAAATATATATATATAAAATTTGCAAGACTGACTTTTGACACTCCCGCTTTCAAAGATGTGGCCGCTTGCCTGCCCGCCCTTCTGGTTCGCCTATGGCAGTGCGGTAATTTTGTACCCCTCCAAGTCAAAAAACAATCATTTTTCCTTTGTCAGGACTGCAACGTGATTTTTCGCAATTTATTTTTTCGTGGTTATCCTGTCAATGAAGGGATGCACGCCATGGTCGCTGACGTCCTGTGGTTCTCTATGGAATTAGAATAGAAAATTACCTCAGGGTATGGAATAGTGAGGTTTCTTTCATTTTCACGATTTTGTCTTATGATAAATGCCTGGCTCGAAATAGCAGAAATACTTGGATCCACTGCACACAAGAGAAGCCTTGATAACATTTGACAAGAGGGATAGTGATGGCTGATGAGTATGATAGGGATAGCGGCGAAGAAAAGGCCATTATACCTAAGTGCTCAAATGTGCAAATGGACATTTTGGCACCATTCGAGCTAGTTTTTGATCTTTCCAAGCAAGGCCCGCATCTCTAACGAGGATCACACTTGGCACTCCAGATGAGCGTTGCACCGGTCATCTGGCATCAAGGCCCTGACTGCTCAAGCCATTGATCCTTCGTTGCGTGTTCCTTTGAGTGAGATGCAACTTAGAGAAAGATAGTTTCCGGAGGAGGGGGGTAAGTAATGGTCCTATGTAATTGAAATATCAGCATGGTTCCAAGATTAAGCGTTTTTTGTACAAGCCTAAATTCTTGTTTGATGGGGTAATGCATTCTTCATAGTCGCAGATAACGCATGAGGTCCTGCAAAAACATTCATTGTCGATAGAACTTTCGCGAAAATTCCAATAGAGTGGTGAAGAGTTAGACGAATGCATTTTTCTATTAAGTCAGCCATTTTTAACTTTTCTCAGATAATGATGCAATGGGGCACTTCCCATGCACAGGTGACTAATTAAAATGAGTAAGTGTCTGACTGTAGGTGCAGTTTAAGCTTGTGCATGTGTATTATTAAAATAATTTAGTTAATTTGAAATCTTAAGTCTTTCACCCTGGCTTCCCAAGATCTGGCATTTAATGACATCAGTCCACAAACTTTTTTATATGTGTTTATCTTGTAATTTATCTTAAGATTTATTGTTACTTTTCCTCTTGGCCTCTGAAATTCACAGATTGATTGATTGGCAATAAAGAAAATTTATGATGATAATGGTTATTCTCCCAGGAAGTAGATAGCAGGAAGCTGACCATCTCTGTTGCACGATGTTATCCAATGAAGAACCGGTTCCCTGACATTTTGCCTTTTGATGCTACTCGTGTGGAACTTAAAAGTGGACATGATTACATCAATGCTTCTCACATCCGAAACCTCACACCCAACTGCCCAAACATGATTGCAGCTCAAGCTCCAATTCCACTCACATTCCAAGATTTTTGGATGATGGTTTGGGAGACCCAGACAGAGATCATCACTTGTCTCCTTTCTGAAAAAGAGGTGAGGAGTGAGAAAGATCAACTATTCAATATTTTTGTAGAACTTTAGGACTTTATGGTTTAAGTAAGTTTAAGTTGTTTTAGGTTTTTAAATTGGAAGTGTGTGAAGTATAAGTTGAGGTTGAGATGTTGGATCTTAAATTTCATTTGGCATTTAATTCCCACTCATTAATACTCTTTTTTCTGTTGAATACAGCATTGATGAGGAGTCTGTGAGTTTTGTAAAGGTGCATTAGTATGGATCTGCTCATATGGAAGTCCTTGTTTATGGATGCTGCTTGAGTTGCATTTAGGATCATTTCAGATTTTCTTCCCTAGAACAAGATTATGAGGGGTTATCTTGAGACATTTAGAAGTATTGAGAATTTAAGAAATGTGGATTTTGGTGTTTTTCCTTATTGATTGGTTCAGGATGATGAGTAGCAGATCTGGATAATTATGCATACATCATGGAGACCAAATTTGAGGAACATGTTTTTCACTTCTGGAGGAGTGAGCTTGTGGAATAGGTTAAGTAAAGACATAGTGACTACCCCTGTAATCATATGTAAAAGGATAGTATGTATCTTCATGGAAATGGAGTAACAAGGAAGGGGAAATGAGCACGCTGTAGATTAACATGCTTCTACTAAAGGCATGTATGTTAAGTGGGGTTGGATGGAGAGAAAAATGCTCATCCTCAGCTGAAGGTTATCCAAATAGGTTGCAGTGCCCTTTGCGCACCTGTACCTGCTCCCTGACCCATGAACCCTTGAGGTTCTCAGGACCCAAAATAAAAACTTTATAGTTCCATTGGAATATCTGTGTGATTGATTTGTGTTCTTGCTCTAGTTCAAAGGACCCATCTATTGGCCTTTGGAGAAGGGGAAGACAGGCAGACATGGACCACTGAAATTGAGTCTTCAAAGCTTAAAGCAGGAGAAGTTTTGGGTTGAACGGATCATCACCATCACCCATGAGGAATTAAAAGCATCACGAAATGTCGTTCATCTTCTTTTCCCCAATTGGAACAGCAGGTTCATAATACAATCTCATGATATTCCTCATGATGCATGAATCATGCTCTCACAGATTGGGAAACTTGTGCTTGATGCAAGTTTCTTATCTTTCTGACCTGTGGATCTAGTGATGATTCTAATTGTCTCTCTTTATTTTATTTATATTTAGCCTCCCACCAAATTCTCCAGTACCATTAGTCCAGTTCACAGCAGAAGTATTGAGCTACTATAAACAACAGCGCCACCAGGAGAATCCAATTGTGATTCACTGCCTGTCTGGAGTGGGTCGAACAGGGGTCCTCTGTCTCCTCTTGGCTGGGGTCTCTGAAATCCAAGAAGGTCATGGAATCATTGACATTGTACCAACGTGTGCTGAGATGCAACGACAAAGACGTGCCATGCTTCAAGAACCTTCTCACCTGGCCCTTTGCTATCACCTTCTTCTATATTATGCACAGGATCTTCTCCTCAAATGTGAGTCCTTGTCCTTTACTTTACCTTTCCCTCAAAGAATCCTCAATGAATGAGACCTGACCTGTGTTTATGTTCAGGTGGTGTGCTGAGTACTAGGAGCCTTTCATTTGATGATGGTGTATCCCGTCATACCAGGCACCCATCTGAAGACTTTGTACTAGGCATGGCAGATTCATCTAACATTTTCAGCACCTCTGAGCCTCCTAAGGAGAAAGCCAGTGAGTTTTTCATCTTTAAGAGGAGCTTCAAGCAATGATAGCTGGCCTTTAAATTTGAAAGTGCATTTGCTCTTGACAGAAATACAGGAGGGAGGACAGCAAAAGATGGGTGAAGAGATGAACAAGGATGAGAAACAAATCGAAAATCAAGGTGAAAAAGAGGGCGATGGTGAAATCAAAAGTTATGAGACCAGATCCCCAGGCTTTACAGAGATGGAGTTGGCAAAAAAAGACATTGAATGTGTGAATGTGAAGGAGGTGGTTGGAAGACGGGAGAAAGAAAAAGAGAAAGAAGATATGGATAGCACATTCCTGGCTGGTGTGGATCCTCTTAAATTCAGTGTAGATTCCTTGTCCTCGCATCGGAAGCAGCCGAGATTCACTAAGGAAAGTTTCCTCAATCAAATGGGTACAGGGCTCAGGGACTGTACTCATGATCCCTCTGATCCTCTCAGTCAACTTGATCCCTTGTGGACTTTGAAGAAGTGAAAATCAACTTTGTCATGCCTCTACATTGGAGAACAACACTCACCAATAGGAAGGGATTATTTTATGCAAGTTTCAGTGATGATAGTATTGGTGTCTTATACAGTATCTAAAAAGAGAGATACTTCTTTGACTGTCACCCTGTGGAGTTATTAAATAAATTGGAGGGACCAATCAACAGAGCTTGAATTGGCATCTGGCCCAGATATTATTCATGCATCCAGCTTACGCTCAAATCATGCCGTAGCAAACAAAAGAAAGTCCCTTATGATTCCTATCGGTGGCCTTTTTACAAATTCAAATGCCTTCTCATCATGCATAGTAACAGTATTGCTGGTGATCAATGCAGCTGCACTGGTGGAACTCTCACTGTTCCTGGGAAACTTAACTCCTATCTGGGCAAGGGGAGTCCACTGGACTCTCTTACTTAAATTTTGTCTTATTTCGATTCATATTTACGAGAGAAACATGTTTCTTTTAATATGTGTCGTTTAGTTGATGCGAGACACTATATTACCATGTCCAAATTTTGGGGTAATTGTTTTTGCATGTGCAAAAATTCGTAAACACTTTCCTGACGTAAACGGGCAAGAGGAGTCCGCTGGACTCTACATTTTACATGTATGTTTTGCAACGGCTCTCTGTCCTTGGCGGCTCCCACTCACAATCATTTCGCTGCACCATTTAGCCGCAACAAAATCAAGCTGGGAAGACCGCTCAGTTTTGGGCTATTCGGAAAAATCCTGTCATCCCTCTGTATTGACTACTCTGTGGTGAAACCTGCATGCATTGCTTGAGAGTGCACCAGATCGAGTAAGCCTCGCTACCGTACGTGGTTTCTCCCTGTTTCATGCAACCTAAGATAACTTTGGTAAGATGTACGCAGTGGCGTATTTGCTTTTATTGTTTTTTTTTGGCGTTGGGGACGGTTGGCCGCCTCCCCTCCCCTCTCTCCCTCCACCCCTCTCCCGTCCCAGGCGACCCTTGGAGGTAATATGCCTCTGGATGTAAGCATGCAAAATTATTGGGAATTGTATCCGATTGTCACGTTTTTCATTAGTTTTTCACTGCCCCTGACACCCAACTCTGAGTATTTCCTTCTGGTATCCTGTAGCGCAGAAGCTGGCAAAACGCTAGTTTCAAAATTGATTTCAAAATGAGCATTATTTGCAACTCATCAATAAGAATCTTATTTTTGTTACTGTTACCTTAGAGATTGCAGTGAAATCTTGAATGTCAGGCAATGATTTAAAAAAAACATCCGAGACAATGAAGAGTTGGATGAAAATCTCAGAAACTTGAGTCAACATGTTGCATAGTACGGTAAAATATACGAACTCTAATTGTTTCAGTAATTAATTTTAACGGAGTTATGTATTACTTTTTTAGACGTGAATACTCTGGGAATTGTTCTTGTGTTAATGTGTGATGATTGCAAAGGGGGTAGCCAAATTAATACAGGTTGATAATTAAAAGGAAATGAAGAGTCCATTGGACTCCCCTTGCCCGCTTACGTTACAAAATACCTTGTCCGGATAAGGGACATAAGTATCCCTGGAGCAGAGATCCAATATTGTTCCAAACATCCAGACCAGCAACTCTCAAGTTTTTTTTACCAGCAATAGCATGCTTTTCAGGCTGCAAGACATCGGTGGGGGTCCAACACATCCACGAACCTCCATGCACATTACTTTGAAGTAAGAATATGGAAAACCAAGACTTGAATTCATATATGAAAAGTTCATTTTGAATTGTCACATGGCAAGAGAATCACTTCAAGAAAATAAATTTAGGCTCCATTTTTTGTTTCTTCAATGCGATACTTATGCCTGCTTCTGGTTGCAGAAAGGAGCAAGAAATATCTTTTTTTTTTTAATTGGCCCTTTGCAGGGTAAAAGTAATGTGTAAATGGGATCGGAACTTTTTTAATGTAACAGGGATTTAAGTGTATGCAGACATGTGGTGGCACAAGCAAATCCAGATTTTCATTCCAACAGCAATGTCGACGTTAGTATTCTTCCTTTAGTAGATACTCTCCTAATAAAAGTATACCAGGAGTATGCAATGAGTCAATTTCAATCGAAATTGTCACTTCTGAGTCAATGATAATGCTTCCAGCCATAATGCGCTGATGACCCAGAAGTTTTTGGAATAAAATGTCAGTGTATTTCCCATGCACCCTATTCCCCCCCCCCCC